ATGGAGAGAAAGTACAAAATTTCCCATATTACGATGTAAAATTATGGAATGAGTGAAATAAGAACAATCTTAAAGAAGGTAAAAAAGAGAAAAAGGAACATGGAATATGTGGGAGAAATAGGAAGGAACATACTTAAATGGAGAAATAAACCCAAATATTTTAGGGTTTATATCAGTTTATATCGATATAAATAAAGCCAGTTTTATTTAAAAGTAGGGGCACCTGGGTGGCTCGGTCAGTCGAACCTCTGACTTTTGATCTCAGCTCAGGTCATGATCTCACAGTTTGTAGGATTGTGCCCCAGGTGCCTTGGGCTCTTCAGTGACAGTACAGAGACTCCCTGGGGACTCTCTCTCCCTCGCTCTCTGCCCGTCCCCTGCTCGAGCTCTCTCTCTGAAAATAAATAAATAAACTTAAAAAAGGTAAAGAATATCTAACTATATGCCATTTACAAGGGACCCATGTAAAACTGGACGATACTTGAAGTAGAAAAGTCAAAAGTACAAGGATGGAGAAAGATAAACTGTGGTTCTTAGCCCGTAACTTCCCGAAAGGGAAAAGTGTGCTAAAAATATACTTCTAATGCAGATACTTTAAGTGTCTCGCAGTGTCTGTTGTATTACAAGTGCTGGATTACAGGCTTAGAACCACAAGCTCCCCAAGTTTATGTTTCTTTGATGTTTTACTGTACGTGTAGTTTATGACCTCAGGCTGTCAACACAGCCCCAGAGCAGTCGGGACCATGGATAGTGTTTATAAGGTGATAATTTATTTTACTGATGTATTTGCAATATTTCTCTCTGTCACAACAAACTCATTTCATTTAATTGTTCAATTAGATAAGCTGGATTTAATACCTAATTGCTTACGAGAGCTCAAAGTGCGAAGAGGGAAGCTTTAAAAGCTTTTTCTTTTTTCCTGGTATGAGACTAAGTATTCTTTTTTAGTTCTCTTGTTAGAAATGATTTAAGTGATCTTTTTGACTTAATGCTCTTTCACATTTAACGGGAGCTGTTGCGGTACCTTCCATATAAATCCTGCTCGTGGATAAAGGAAAAAAAATGCCAGTTTAATCTTTTGATGAAGAGTGCTTGCACATTTTCATCAGAGGGGTTTCAGGCATTTAATAAATATAAGTTGAATGAACGGGGAGGAAGGTTTTGAACTGGAGAGAAGGTGAAGAACAGTGTGCGGAGCTGGAATTGGAAGGTAGGTTTTCTTAAGATGGAAAATACACTTAAACCAAATATGAACTTGGGGCGCCTCGGTGGCTCAGTTGGTTAAGCGGCCGACCGGCTCAGGTCGTGAGCTCAGAGTTCGTGAGCCGGAGCCTCACGTCGGGCTCTGCGCTGACAGTGAGGAGACTGCCTGGGGTTCTCTCTCTCCCTCTCTCTGCCCATCCTCCCCTTGTACACATGTTCTTTCTTTCTCAAAAGAAACAAATACACTTTAAAAAATAAAGTAAATATGAACTTGACAATATGTGTATAGACAGAGAGCCGTTTTAAGAAATGGCTTCTTAAAACTTTTTATTTTTTTTTTTTATTTTTTTTTTTCAACGTTTATTCATTTTTGGGACAGAGAGAGACAGAGCATGAATGGGGGAGGGGCAGAGAGAGAGGGAGACACAGAATCGGAAACAGGCTCCAGGCTCCGAGCCATCAGCCCAGAGCCTGATGCGGGGCTCGAACCCACGGACCGCGAGATCGTGACCTGGCTGAAGTCGGACGCTTAACCGACTGCGCCACCCAGGCGCCCCAAGAAATGGCTTCTTAAGAAAAGAAATCCATCCCCAAGCTTTCACCCATGGCTAATTCAAAAATATACCACTAACCGAGTACCAATTCTACTGTGCAATACTTATACTTCATGATGAGCTGTAAGTTATTTTGAGATGTGGACGTTGAATGACAGGATAGGATGTGCACTGGTAAATTTTCACACCAGCCGGGGTGTGAAACATACAAACTCATGCCTCAGCAACATTACAAGACACGGACCTTATGGGCCAATAGGAATGGCGGAATCCGTGAATGTTAACTCTATGAATTTCTGGCTTCTACTCAGTCTTCTACTCATATATGCTGAAGAGTGTGGAAAACGATATTGTAAGTCAGAATAATCCTGCATACCACTTACTGTCAGAAGATGCTAATTTTGCACTAATTTCCTGAAATGTCAGCAATGGATACTGATAAAGATATAATCTAGATGCACAAATTGATCTTTACTATAGGAAGAACATTGATTTTTTTTCCCCCTCGTAATATAGTACATAGCATTTATGTTTAGGGAATTCACTTGAATTATTCATGCGTCATCCAATATCAAAATCACTGGCCACAAACAAATTCTTGGTGCTCACCTTTAGGCCAGGTACCTATCAACTGTTAGATACTGCTAGAATAACACAGGTTTTCTTAAGAATATTATTTTGTCCTCTCAAGGACCAGCTAAAGGGCGGGTTGTCACTAGCCCCATAAATTATTTATGTCATATCAATTAATCTCCGGCCTTTGTACCTTACGGGCTCACGGACAATAGGAATAAGCTGTGCAGGTGGACAGGACCAGCATGAGCAATGATGTTTGGCTACGCAGCTGTCCTAAAGCGTCCCCAGGATTTGTTCTAATCAGGGGTAGTAAGACAGCAGACATGGAAAGGACTGTCATGAAGGAAGAAGCCTGTATTCACAGATACCTAGAAACAGAAGGCACAGCACACGGTTAAGGGGGCGCTTACGAGGCAGACACGGAGAGAGGGCAGACCGTGGCCCAGAGCCTTGTTTGGGGTTTTTGTGGGAAGGGATGGGTGAGGCGGGGTAGGTACGCTGAATAAGGATTGGATAGTTAGAACAACATCAGTGAGCTATGGGCTACAGAGGTGGTTCCTAGCTGTCTGATCCTTGGTCCGGTGGAGATATATCGACTTGCTGTGAGTTTGACAAAGTGAACGACTAGGGGTATGTGTTCGGATTGGTTGGTTTGTTTATCAAAAGTGTGCTCACAGGGGAGTCATGTCCTATTTCTTGGAATTAGCGAGCCCCAGGAGATGTAGTTTTTCCAGGATCAAGGCCCACATGCCAGAGCATCAAGAATACTGAGAATAAGGGGTGCCCGGGTGGCTCAGTCGGTGGGGCGTCCGACTTCGGCTCCGGTCACGATCTCGTGGTTTGCGAGTTCAAGCCCCACATCGGGCTCTGTGCTGATAGCTTGGAGCCTGGAACCTGCTTTGGATTCTGTGTCTCCCTCTCTCTCTGCCCCTCCCCTGCTCATGCTCTGTCTCTCTCTGTCTCTCAAAAATAAATAAATGTTAAAAAAATTAATAGAAAAAAGAATACTGAGAATAATAAATTATAGTCGATGCAGCAGCCTTGTCTTGGTCATTAGGCTAAAGAAATCTAAGTCACTATTTATCTGTATCTTTAAAAAACTAATATAGCAGGGGCATCGGGGGGGCTTAGTCGTTTAAGTGCCCATCTCAGTTTGGGCTCAGGTCATGCTCTCATGGCTTTGGGAATTTGAGCTCCACCTTGGGCTCTGCACTGGCAGTGTGGACGCTGCTTGGGATCCTCTCTCTCTCTCTCTCTCTGCCCCTCTCCTACTTGCACTGTATCTGTCTCTCTCAAAATAATTAAATAAACTTAAAAAAATTGTATAGCTATTGGAAAGTTATCCATATAGGTCAGATCCCTACCAGGTTGGTTTTGGTAGCATGTTGACAGATTAATTTCCCCTAAAATAAAACTATTGTAAAAGTCAAGAGAAAGCAAAGGGCTGACACAAGTGACGAGTCATTAGTAAGATTAAAGGAAAAAGGAGGAATATGAAATAGTCCTGTAGCTGTGAGTATTTTGCATGGTAAATGGGCACAAGGGTCCTTCCCAGAAATGGGACAAATCTGGAAGATGCTTGACTGATAACCAAGGTAATGAAAAGATTATTTTGGTGTTTTTTGAGTGAGAATGCACTTGGGTTTGGTGCAGACATTTAAAAAAGCTGTCTGGGATATTTTAAAGATCTAAAAGCTTCTGCAGGTAATTTTCCAATCTAAGGACACTTAAGGCTTAGCTTCCTGTACAGATAACTTAATGTGACACAGAGGGAGAGACAGACAACCATACTGGCATGGGGTTAACAGAAAGTAAGCCAGGAAACACCCAGGCTTCCGCTGATGGAAGGGAGTCATAGAATATCCCTGGTCCTTACCTTCCTCATTCTCAGTATGAAATGGTTGGGACGAATAATCTCAAAGGTTTGATCTAACCATCATGCATGTGCGCATGCACATGTGTGCGCACACACACACACACACGCACACACACGCACACACACGCACACACAGCCATCACTGTATCCCTGAGATGTTGCCTTTTTAAAATAAGATTGTTAAATTAAAATAGATGCTTTTGAATGGTGAATTAAGCTTCATTTTGGATGTTGAGTTCTTTTTTTTTTATTTATTATTTTTTTAAACTTTTTTTTTAACGTTTATTTTTGAGACAGAGTGAGACAGAGCATGAACGGGGGAGGGTCAGAGAGAGGGAGACACAGAATCTGAAACAGGCTCCAGGCTCTGAGCTGTCACCACAGAGCCCGACGTGGGGCTCGAACTCACGGACCGTGAGATCATGACCTGAGCTGAAGTCGGCCGCTTAACCGACTGAGCCACCCAGGCGCCCCTGGATGTTGAGTTCTACAAGACTTATTCTCCCTACTCACGATGCAGACCTTATATTTTGTGGGTGAAATCTACTTTAATGCTTCATACATCTGTATTTAAAGGATTTACTGGGGACTGAAAAATGTAATTGGAAAAGCAAGTGATTTAATCTATTCAGTCTGTAACTCCATGCTTCTTAAAAAAGTATGTCCCCCACCAACATTTCTCATTTGGATGATACAAACTTGCATGCATCACTGGTCAAGGAAGGTATTAAAGAATACTCCTTTTAGGCAACAAGCATTTCCTATAGGTCCTAAAAATGGCCTGGTCATACCTTAGAGGTATCATCACCTTCATCTTCATGCACTGAACTAGACGGGGAAGGAGTTGCAGACTTGCTTCCGGGTGGAGATGGGGAGTTGTGGGGGACACTGCTTCCTCCCATATTCAGGCCAAGCTGAGCACTTAGCTGTGACTGGTTGATGGTGGTCAGCTGGCCATGCTGCATCATTCCTGGCTGCTGCCTGATGTCTGCAGGCTGACCCCTTGGTCTCACGGCTGCCATCTGAGGGTGGGAGCTATATTGAGTTCCTTCTGGATTCCGTATATCTTGCATCTACCAAAAACAAAGATGGGAATCGTTTTTCACAAACATATTTCCAGAAAAAAAATTTTTTTTAATTCTTTAGACTTCGAAAACTCTGTAGAATGTCTTGCTGAACTATGCATATTTCCACCTCAACCCCCAATCCCTCTCTAGCGTAGAATAACCCTAACATATACATCACCCTAAAGCCACTGTTACCAAAGAATAGAACTTGAGAATTCAGTCAACATCCCATTTCATTACTCAAGACCTGATTAATTATATTTACTTTCTTAAAGACATGCAAACGTATATCATTAGTAGATATTTATGACATAAGCTTCAAAAATGATGCTTCTTAGAGTGTCAAAATTATATAGTTATTAGTGATTTACAGCATTGCAGCCATTCGTGAAACACTATTTCTTTTATTCTGATCCCTTAAGAAAGGTTTTGCGAGTTAAGTGTACTACGATTCTTAGTTTAATTCTATATAGGCTAGTTTTGGCTAAAATGATCTACTAACTTCCAGACTCAGAACACTACAGGCTGGTATTAACCAACTGATTAATTGACTATTGCAATGGTTTGACTGCACAGTCAGATTTGAAAGTAAAGCTCTAAAGTTGCAAGGTCACCATATTAATCCATTATGCTATCTGGGTCACTGCTTTTTAGCCTTAATGAGACTCACTCTTGTAATTCAAGCAATGAATTTTGTCTCTGCAAGGATTAGAATTAAAAGCATTGGAGGATGAAGCTCTTAACGTATCTAGAGGTCAAATGTGTTGTATAAGAGGAGTATGGTGGATTTCACTTAACGTTTCTCTGACATTTTCAAACTTAAACTAATGAGTATTTTGCCCTGCTTATAGAAGTGGCTCATTTTTTTCACTCTGAGGGGAATTGGGGAGTTCATGCAGGTAGAGGATTATAAAACAAGAGAGGGGAAAAAAGAAAAAAATGGAAAAAAGAAGGGCAATGAAGAGGCGTCTGGTTAGTTACATTTCAGAACTGAAAAAATAAAATTAATAATGATATCTTTTTCTGTTTCATTGAAAAAAAAAATCCCACATGGTGTCAGAATGCCCCATAATTGCCTGTCAGCATATGTTCCCATGACATAGAAATACTGTAAAGGTCAATTAAATTACTTAGCCATAGGCTTCTTTTTGTTTCTTTTGGTAATAAAACCATTGTCTACCAATGTCGCCTAGTCATTTTACCAACCTAGTTAGATCTATCTGAAACTGAAGGCGAGACTGCAGAGGTGTCTGCTTGCATTGGAGGGGCAGAGCGAGAGGGAGGCACAGAATCCGAAGCAGGCTCCAGGCTCTGAGCTGCCGCATACAGCCCGACGCAGGGCTCAAACTCACGAACCATGAGATCACGACCTGAGCCAAAGTCAGACACTCAACCGACTGAGCCAGCCAGGTGCCTCCCCGCTTTTTTTCTTTTTTAATTTTTTTTTAATGCTCCGACTTGGTTCTATGTATCATCCTACACTCTGGCTCTGGCATCCTACACTCGTGGCAAAGGCTTAGGTCAGCCCCACGGTTTTGTATTTGCTGCTCTCCAGCAGCAAAAATCAACATTTTTTCCAGAATTTAAACTGAATTTCTCCAACCCTCCTACTTTTTATGTAGTCCATTCACGTTGTCTCCACTCACATTTACTAAAATGTTTTCTTCTCCCTTCATAGTTGTTCGCGTCACTTACATAATTTGATCTTCCTTATGAAATCATACTAGCTTTAACAGATACCCTTGAAATTGTGCCACTAACAGAGGGTATCATAAAAATCGAGGCCACTTTTGAAAGTACACAGAAGAAGCAGTCTATACTAGGTGGCTTTTCTTTTTCTTTTGTTTTTGTTTTTTTTTTT